TGCAACCAGCGTTCCTCTGGTTCCCACCAGTCTGGCTGACTGTCCTCCCTCCCTCCCTCCCTTTGCCTCCCGCCCCTCCCCTCCGTCCCCTTCTCCCTTTCTGTCATGAGTCTGCCTGGTCAAAGACAGAACAGCAGAGAGACAAGCCTCCTCCCTGGGCCCCTGAGGCTCTCCACTTGGCACTGTGCACATCCTCCTCCCTCTGTGGCCTGTGTCCTCACAGATACCTCAGCGAGCAGCCAGGCACAGCCTGGAACTGGTCGGCCATCAGCATTTTAAGAATGACCAGTTCCCATCCTCTCCGTGCCCCATACCATCATGCCACAGGGGCTGACGTCGGCAGGCCTTGGAACAGAGAGCCCCAGAGGGAGGACCGGCGGGCCAGCCTGTGTCCCCCACCCTCAGTGTCACCAAACCTCCCCTCCCCCTGCGCTACGTTGTGCTTTGCAGGCTGCTGTTTCCGGCCCCCAAGAGCCCCGCTAAGGTGCCCTTCTTCCCTCCTGTACAGCAGCCTCTGGTTTCAGCCACCCCGGTCTGTGCCGGGTGACACCATGCCATCAAGACTCATGGTCCACCCTGGATTCTGCTGGAGCCAATTCTTGCCTCCTCTGGCCTGGCTCCTCTGACCCCCCCACTGGCTTGCTTCTCTCTCTGCAAAATGTAAATGGCCCAGTGCAGGCAGACAGCTTGGAGGTTCTGGAAGGAGAAGCCCCCTCCCCCCAAGTGAGAGGCACCCCCCCGCCCGGCCCCTCCTCCCCGGGTCACAGACTGTGACCGAGCCTTATTGCCTGTCTCGGGGAATTCATCCCGTCGCCTCTCCTCTGTTCCACCTCTCTGGGGTGCCCGGCCCCTCCCCTCAGCACCAGGCCCCTCATCTTCATTATTTTTACGCCAACACAGTTTAAAAATCTCCGCTGCCTCCTTGCTGTCTGCGGAGACGCGGCTGCCACATTACTCTGACACGCTGATGTCATTAGTGGCAACGCGAACGCTCTTCAGCTAATGAGGCGGCAGAAAGAAAATTAAGGGGAAAAACCACGCGGCATTTTGCTTTATATGCAGATAGAGAAATGGACAGGGGCAAGGAAAACGGAGGCTGCTTCCCATGGGGTGTCCTCTCCCTCCCAGTGGGGCAGGGCACACGCGGCTCAGAGAGCAGGACACGGGCCCTGGCTCTTGAAAACTGCCACCCCAGTGCCCTGCCCCTAAACATCCTGTGGTGTTGGGGTGCATCACGGGCAGCCCCCTGCCCAGTCCCGTAATCAGCCCGGGGAACTCGAGGCCCACATTTTCAGCATAGCCCACATCTGGTGGGTGAGGCAAGGCAGAGATTTCCAGAAGCTTCTGGAAGCTGCCACCCTCTCCATCAGCCGCTGTCCTCCCCGCTCAGGCGCCACCTGCCCCTCCGGGGGGTCTACATGCAGCCTGGTTCTCCACGGCCTCACCCAGTATGTTCTCCATGGGAGCAGACAAAGCCCTTCCCAGCTCTAATCCCACTCTGTCTGTCTCTTCTTGTTTAGGGTGGTCTAACAGAGTCCCACTGTCATTAGAGGGGTCCCCGGGGCGGGGTGCACGGGGCTCACGTGCTCGGCTGCGACCCACCCAGGGGCACCTCGGAAGGAAAGCCTGGTATCTGCTTCCGGAAATCCAGCCACTGAGACCCTAGGAGCACAGCTCCACTCCGCATGCGCAGGGCTGCCCGGACGCCACCGCGACTCCACGGCAACCAGAGGGCGTGGCAGCATCGCCCTTGTGACAAGGTCGCCAGCTACCTGTCCAGTCTCACCTGGCTCCGCTGGCAGTTCCCGCCCTGGGCCCTGGCCAGCTCGCAGCAGCAGGGGCCCCTCTGCCCCAGGACGTCTGCCTGCACAGTTCCTGCTCTGCCCGGAAGGCTGGCTGCTCTCGGGCAGCTTCACACAGCTAAGGCCTCAGCCTTCAGACCCCAGCTCGCTCACTCGTCACATGCTCAGGGCTCTGATCTCGGCACTGGGGCTTTCCCCAAAGTAACAGTGGCTGCACACTAGTGTGTGTGGCTGCAGGCCGATGCATGTGGCTGCATGTATGTGTGTGGGTGTATGATGGTGTGTGTGTGGGTGTATGATGGTGTGTGTGTGGGTGTATGATGGTATGTGTGTGGGTGTATGATGGTGTGTGTGTGGGTGTAGGCTGATGCATGTGGCTGTATGATGGTGTGTGTGTGTGTGTGTATGATGGTGTGTGTGTGGGTATATGATGGTGTGTGTGTGTGTGTATGATGGTGTGTGTGTGGGTGTATGATGGTGTATGTGTGTGGGTGTAGGCTGATGCATGTGGCTGTATGATGGTGTGTGTGTGGATGTAGGCTGATGCATGTGGCTGTATGATGGTGTGTGTGTGTGTATGATGGTGTGTGTGTGGCTGTATGATGGTGTGTGTGTGGGTATAGGCTGATGCGTGTGGCTGTATGATGGTGTGTGTGTGGGTGTATGATGGTGTGTGTGTGGCTGTATGATGGTGCGTGTGGGTGTATGATGGTATGTGTGTGGGTGTATGATGGTGTGTGTGGGTG